TGACATAGGGGGAGGGAGGGGTTAAAAATGGTCAAAAATCGCGTGACGTATTATGTGTACGGCCCCTTATATAAATCATAAATATTTTTTTCGTGGCGTGTATTTTCAATTTCAGGAGAAATTTATCGCTAATTTTCAGAGTATCCTCATATTTTTATTTCGTAATAAAACTTGCGATAAAATTATATTAATTGTTATAAAGTTCTAGGAGTTAAAGAAAATTTTCTAAATTAAAAAAAATTAAACGTTAACAATTAATTTTAGTTAAAAATTTTATTTTTTAAAAAGTTATAGAAATAAATATAGGTAAGACTAAAAATAGTGGAAATTTAAATAATTAAGAAAATAAATTAAAATTCTACCTGTAATTATTTATTTCAATTTTTTAATATAATTATTATTATATTATCTATTTATTTAAATTGCTTCGAAAAGTGATAAATTTCTCGTAAAATGACACATATACATTACAAACACATTTTTTCTCTTTTTGGAAAATATCTGAATTAAATTAACGTCTTTAAGTTAATAATGAAATAAAATAATAATAGTATAATCAAAAAAAAAAAAAAAATGTCGATAAAATAATCATAAATCTTTAAAACTAAGTAAAAAAAATTTTAAAAATTTTAAAAAAAGTATAAAATAATTTGAAATATATTATAAGTAAAAAAAATTTAAATAATAATTTTAATAAGTAATACAAATTTTTTTTTATTTATTTCTTAATTATTTTAACTGTGACTAAATTGTATTAATTCGTGTTGTTTATTATGTTTGTGTTGTTTGTTAAACTTTTGTTTCTGTTATGATTGTTTTACTAATTTGTAATATTTTTCTTTTTTTATAATTACCAATATTAATATTATTATTTTTTTCCAAATAATTTTATTAATATTATTAGCATTATTTAATTATATTAATAAGTAATAATATTAATAATATCACTGGCTAATTGTAATATTGATGATATTATTTCTGAACAATTATAATAAAATATATAAAGGGCAATTGAATGCCCTTAAGTATTATAAAATAATAAAAACTAAATAATAATAATAACAATAATCATTTTGTTTTTAATGTTTGTTTAAAACTATTTAAAACTGAAAAAATAACAAAAAAATATCAAAAAGGAAAAAAAATAATAATAATAATATAAGTTAACAATAATTTATCAAATTTAAGCCCAAAATTTTGCTAAAGCAAAAGTAGATTTCGAGCGAGTGACAATTTAAGTAGAAAATCCAGTACTGACCAGACGGATCAGTCTGACGAAAAATAGTCTTATCTACTTGAAACAAAGGTCTACTTGAAAGAAAGGTTTCGAGAGTTAGATTTAGTTTATTAAATCTCATTTTTTTCCACATAGAACGTAAAAATAAATATAAAAAACAAAAAAATTTAATTTATTTACAATTAATTTCTTCTCTATACTTACAGTGACGCTCAAAAGGATTAGCCCCCCCCCCCCCTACGGCAAATAAAGACATTACAAAAAGTTTTTTATTTTAATTTCTAGTAAAAGATAAAAAGTTTGTTGAGGTTTCATTTCAAAGCTAATGTTTTCTATTTTCATATCTAAATAATAAATATATAAAACAAGTTCTTCATTGTTTAAATGAAATTGCCAATAGAAAAAACAGGTTTTTATTTTTTTTGGGTAAATTTTAAACAAATGTAGTTTTTTAACAAGTGATCATACAAATATTTCGTGCAATGCAATCGAAAGCTCATTTTGTCACTTTTCGAACACTTTTCTAAAAATTATTGTACGATAACTTTTAAGAAAGTTATCATCATTTGTTTAAAAAACAGCCTTTTTTTAAATTGTTTATAATTTAAAAACAGTTGATCTATAAACTTTTTATTTTCAAATATAAATTTTTTAAATAATTTCATAAAGAAAATTTAAAAAATTTACTTATTAAGTACAAAATTAATTATTACTGTTCATATTTTCAATTCTTTTTTTTTTAATTTCACGAAAGAATTCAATTATTTTCAAAAGTTTTAATAAATCCTTCTAAATAATTCAATAATTTTTTTAAATAGTAAAATCTTTACAAAAATCCAATCATTTTCAAAACAATTTTAAATTCAATTATTTCCTAAAATTTTAATAAATTCTTCGAAACAATTCAACTAATTTTATAAATACAAAAATTTTTTGCAGGAATTACATTATTTTTAATCAAATTTAAATAAAATTACATATGAAAGAATTAAATTATTTTCAAAAATTTCCATAAAATGCAATTTCAACAAGAATTGAAAATTCTCTAAAACTAATTCAATTACAAAATATTTTTAAAAAATTCTATATAAAAATTAAATTACTTTCAATGCAATTTTTAAATATATATTCGTCAAAAAAATGGAAAGAATTCAATTATTTTCAAAAAATAATAAAATTCTTGTGATGAATTCAATTATTTTGAATATATACTTAATTTTAATAAAATTCTTTAAAAAAATTTAATAATTTTCGAAACAACTTTAATTTAATTTCTCGAAAAAATTTCATTATTTTCAAATATTTCCATAAAATTCTTCATAACATTTTAATTATTTCTTAAAATTTTAATAAATTCTTCGAAAAATTTGAATTATTTTTATAAATAGTAAAATTCTTCGCAATAATTCAATTATTTTTATAAATTGTAAAATCCTTTGAAGGAATTCAATTATTTTCAAAACAATTTTAATTGAATTCCTCGGATGAATTCAAATATTTTTTAATATTTCCATAAATTTTAATTATGTCCTAAAATTTTAATGAATTCTTCGAAACAATTCAACTATTTTTCAAAATAGTAAAATTCTTCGCAAGATTTCAATTATTTTCAATTCACTTTTAATAAAATTCTTCTTCATAAAATTCAATTGCTTTCAAAATTTTCAATTAAAATTATTAAAGAAACTCCATTAGTTTGAAAAAAATTCAAAGAAATTCTTCAAAAGAATTTAATTAGAATTTTTAAAAATTTTAATAAAACTCTTTGCAAGAATAATTTTTAAAAATGCATTTGATAGATGACGAAATAAGCTGTCGATTGCATTGCATGAAATATTTGTGTGTACAATTGATCACACAAATAAATTATTTACATTTATTTACATTTTACATTTTTTTACATTTATTTACATTTATTTAAAACAAATGTAAATTTTAAACTACATTTGTTTAAAATTTACCCAAAAAAAATAAAAACCGGTTTTTGTTAATTTCATTTGCATTTAAACAATGTAGAACTTGTTTCTTAAATTTATTATTTAGATATTATGAAAGAAGAAAACATTAGCTTTGAAATGAAACCTTAACAAACTTTTTATCTTTTACTAGAAATTAAAATAAAAAACTTTTTGTAATGTCTTGATTTGCCGTAGGGTGGACAAATTCTTTTGAGTGGCACTGTATATTTATTTAAAACATATTGTTATGCAAAAAATTTTCGAAAATCAGAGAGAGAATTTTTTATTTCATTTTTCACCAATTCGAAAAATATTCATTCAAATTCTATATTATGTTTTTTCACAAAAAAATTGATGTTCTCATTATTTTATAATTTTTAGTCTTGTCCATTAATTTTTCCACTGGATGAAGATCAATAAAGATGTCTAATTAAATAAAATTTTCCATTTTTTATTGAATTTCAATTATTTTTAATTAAATTAAATTCAACTAGGTATTTTAATTTTTAATTTCATTAATTGTAATTTGAATTCAAAATCAAAAATTTTGAAAGAAGGGAATAAATAAATACGAATTTAAATTCGATGCAAATGAAAAAATGTTAATAATATTAGTAATAATTATTCTTATTAGCAATAATAATTAACGATTAGGAGTAATTACTAACTGTTGAGAATTAATTGATTATTAACAATAATAATTATTTAATTAACTTTTTAAATTATTTACAACATAATTCCTACAAATACTTAGTATAAAATAAAAATTATTATTATAAATTACTAATTATTAACAATATTATTTTGTTAATTAATAATTAAACTTTTTAAATTGAAAATATTTACAATATAGGTAATTACTACTAATAGTAGAATAAGAATTATTATTTATTATTAGTATTAATAGTAAATTATTAATTTTTATTTTTAACCTTTTAAAAAAAAATGATTGAAAATAAAAATTAATTCATTTTTTAATTTTTTATTTTACTTTTTTTTATTTAATTTATAATTTTTATTTTTAATATTTTTTACTAAAAAATTGTTATTATACTGTTTGTACTAATCATATTGAAAATATTTTCAATTAAAAAAATTGTTTTTATAAAAATTGAATTTCTAGGGTAAAAATAAAAATTAATGAAACTTGAAAATTGAAATAAATAATAGTTTCTTTTTTAAATGGGCAGTGAAATTTTCTTTAATGATCCCGCTCTAAAAAACAAAAAAAGAACAGAAACAAAAAACAAAATACAAACAAGCAAGCAAACAAACAAACAGTTAAAATGACCAGGCCAGCACAAGCATTATATTTCTATTCACGCAATTGTGCCCATTATAGCGAAGTCCATTTATTATCGCATTATATCGTTCAAATTACATTATTATAATTATATTTGAAATATATTTATAATTACATATATATATTTATATATATCTAGTAAATTTGTTTCCTAACATTTTATTTGCCTTCATATATCTATATATATATATATATTAGAATAGTCGAGAACTCTTTTCTCGAAATTTTAGGCAAATGATTTTTTCGGTCGCCTATATTGCAAAAGAAAAAAGAAATTTTCACAGACGAGCCTCCCGCAAGTAGAGCCCACACCCGGCACGGTATTATATATATTACACAAAAATATAGACACCACACCTAGCACGATATTTCTTATCACTTTTTTTTCTTTTTTTCTTTTTTTTTTTTGTCTTTTTGCAAAAAAAAAAAAAAGAAAAAAAGAAAAAAAATTCGACAATATGTATATTTTTAAAATAGAAAAATTTTCAAATTTCTTTTTTAGGCCCGTTGGTGTCTGGGGGAAAATTGTCGGTTCATTATGCGCGATTGCTGGTGTATTGACGATCGCTCTTCCCGTTCCTGTCATCGTTTCCAATTTCAACTACTTTTATCATCGTGAGACTGATCAAGAGGAAATGCAGTCGCAGAATTTCAATCATGTGACTAGCTGTCCTTATCTTCCTGGCACACTAGGTAATTTTTTTTTTTAAATTATTACTTTTTTTTGGCAAAAAAAAAATATTTTTATTTCATAAAAATTTTTTTTTTATTTTCACAAAAAAAAGCGAAAAAATACAAAAATTTTAAACGAAAATTCATTAAAAATTTTTGTATTTTTTCGCTTTTTTAATAAAAGGTGATTAATAATTAATTAATAATAATTATTAATATAATTACCAAAAGAAAGTTTTACACAAGTTTTTTAATTATAATTTCTTAATATTTTCCTCATTTCATTTATTTTTTAATCATTAATTATTATTGTTTATATAACAAAAAAAATTTACATTGATTTTTTATTTACAATTTTTAATTTAATAGAATTTTTATATTTTCGCATTTGTTTAATTCTTAAATCTTTTCGTTTTTTAATTACTAACAATTAATTATTAATTATTAATAAATGTTATTATAATAACCAAAAGAAAATTTTACAGGGTTTTTTTTTGTTACAATTTTCAATTTACTACTATTTTTTCTTTTTTTTTTAATTAATAATAATAATTAATTATTAATTAAAAAATGAAAAGAATTATTAGATAAGGAAAAAATATCAAAATTGTATTAAAATAAAAATTGTAATTAAAATGTCGAGGAAAATTTTCTTGCTATAATTTTCTTAATAATCATTAACAATTATTAATATAATTATTAATAAAATTATGATTATAATTATTAATAAAATTATTATTACAATTATTAATACAATTATTATTACAATTATTAATACAATTATTAATATAATAGTTATTTATAAATAATAATTTATAGTAATTAACAATTTAATTAAATAATAAAAAAAATTTTCTGTCTACATAAAAATAATTTTCCTTCATATCAAAATTTTTCGAGAATTTATACGATTTTGATTTTATTTCTTTTTTCCTTCTGTGGGTGTATTTTTGTGGAAAACAAAAATAATTGTGAGGCTGGAGGAAATTTCTTTTACGATTCCAAAATTCGAAAAATATCCTCAGATACAAATTGAAAATTTTCTATTATTTAGAAATGAAATTCTTCTTTTGCAAAAGAAAGACAATATTTTTCCGAGTCAAAGGAAATTTCTTCGAGAATTAGTGGAAAATTAAAATTGAACAAATTCTTCAGATCAAAGACATCTTTTTTTTTTTTAATAATAAAGAAAGTTTTCTTTGAATGTTCGAAAGAAAAATATTTTTCTGTTACGGACGTTTAAAAAAGATCAAAGGATTTTTTTACTTTTAAATCGAAATATTTTTTATTTAATAGTAATAAATTTTTCGCTGAATATATATAATGTGTAGGAAATTGTAAATTAAAGTAATTCTTTTGTTAGAAAGAAATTCTTTTGAAAGAGAATTTTCTTTTTTAATAAAAAAAATTGTTATTCTTTTTATTTTGTTAATTAATCAGAGGAAATATTCTTTCAAAGATGATTTGTTTCTGATTAAATTGAATTTAATTACAATTTTAATTATAAACTCAATTTATTCCTTGGACATTCTTTTTCATTTTTTTTATTCGACTTTTAATTAAATTTAAGAAATTTTTCATAGAGAAAAAATTCCCTTTACCTGCTTAATGCTTTTTTTTTTGCAGAAAAGAATAAATTTTTCGAAAATTGACAGTTTTTGCATGAAATTTTGTACTCCAGGAAAAGTCTTTTTATTTTCTTAAAAAGTTAATTAAGGGCATTTGAACCATGATGACGTCACAGATTTAAAACTAATGCTTTGCACAAACTGTGACGTCATCAAGGTTCAAATCCCCTTAACAAATTAATTTTTGTTTAAATAATTCAAAAATCTGAATAAATTGATGTTAATTTTATTTGTTTATTTTTTATTATTATTAACTCTTTATTTAATCATTATTATTTATTATTAATTTTGTTTCGCACAAATTTTAACAATTTAGAAAATTAATTTTTTTATTGACATTATTTATTTAGTAATAATAGTATTATTATAATAATTATTTATTGATAATATTATTATCACTAAATTTATTATTAGGTATTTAATATTAATTATTATATTTTTTTAATTTATAGAAAAATTTAGAAAAATTATTTCAATTCTCAATATTTTTTTCTGTATTTTATATTCAACTTTCAATATTTTTTTATTATTTATTTATTTATTTATTCATTTACGGAGTCCCATTTGTACATAAAGTACTAAAAGTATTAAATAGTTGGAATCTGTGAAGTAACATTAGGCTGCGTTATTATTATTATTATTGTTAAATAAATTGTTTATTCAATTTTCAATTTTTTTTGTATTTTTTAATATTTATTTTCAATATTTTTTAAATTTGTTATTGATAATTATTTATACTATTATTATCAAAAAGGCTAGTCCCGTATATTATTTTAAATAAATTGTTCTTACTATTTATTATTTTTATAAACTGAATTTTCCCGGAATTATTCACGAAATTTTAATTAATTATTATTTTTTTGGCACAAATTTTCAGAATTTAGAATCGTAAGAAAATTTTTTAATTATTTAAAAAAATTATTATTACTAAAATTGTTAGTAAAATGAAAATTCTAATAATTGGATTTTTTACAGGTCAGCATATGAAGAAGAGCTCGATGTCGGAGTCGTCATCGGACATAATAGAGTTTGAGGAGGGTCTTACAATAACTCCCCATGCGGAGGTTACGAAAAAACCCATCTACAATCCTAACCATAACAATAACATCAACGTAGCCTGCATGATCGTTGAGACTGACGTCTGACTACTAGGTATCTTTTTTTTCCCCTCTCCCCTATTCATTTTCGGCAATATCGTAAAAAACCTAATCTAAAAAATTAAATCTCAAAGTAACTTTATCTGTAACTGCCTTCGACGAAAGTGTTTTTTTCTTTTCACTAAAAGCAAATCAATGTTTAGAAAAAAACATTTTTTACACAATTTTTCTTTACTTCATTTATTTACATATTATTTATAGAAATTTAGAGAAATATAATAATTCAAATTTTATCAGAATAGTGTTTTAATTTTAATTTCAATTAATTTTATTTATTAATTTCAATATTAATTAATTTTCTGTATTAAGTTTAATCGTGAGTTTAATATTAATTAATTTTTAAGTTTATTTTTGCAAAAAATGAATTATTTCTTATATAAAAAAACAAAATAAGTAAAAATAAATCTTAGAGTCGAAATTTACCTTACTAAAAAATTTAATTCTCACTACAAATTCTTATACAATTTTTTCAAAAGAAAAACCAAAAAAATTCATTAATAAATATCACGAGTAAAAATGACTGTAAGAATATTTTCCTCCCTCTTCGTATAACTTGATATTATATATCTTTCATTCGAAAGCAAAATTTTCTAGAGAAAACTTTCACCAAAGACCGAGGACAGTCACAAATATTTATTTTTCCCTCCAATTTTCAAAAAATAACATTTTATTTTTCCATTTTCAAAATTTTTTTATTCTAATTTTTTCCACAATTAAATAGGAATAGAAAAAAATTTCTATTATTTATAGAATAGACAAAAAAAAAAAAAAAACACCGCCTAATTTATTTTCTAAACTTAGATTATCCTGAAAAGAAACTTTTGTTATTTCGTCAGATTCCTCGGACTCGGCAAACTTGAAATGTTATATAATAACTGGGCCACTTGCGCCTTCGGGCAGAAGTTTAACCAAAACTTGACCCGGTTAAATATTAAAGTCATAAGGCCTTTTCCTCACAGTCTATATATGAGCAAGTTATTTCTCAGAAAATATTCTTGAGGAAGATTTTTGAATTGCCCAAGATATGTGGGTCGTTGTCGAAAATGTTACAATTTTTTCCCGCTTTTCACTTATTATCAAAAAAAAAAAAAAAGAAAAATTGAAGAATTTAAAAAAAAAAATATTTGAAAATCGCCTGATTTATAAAAATCATCGCTGTTGATAAATAAGCGAACAATATTTTTCGAACATTAGTTGTAATTTTATTTCTACTTTCTATTTTGTATTTTTTAATCAATTCTCAATATTTTTTCCTTTATTTTTTATTTAATTTTCAATATTTTTTTATTCTTTATTCAATTTTCAATATTTTTTCTAAATATTTTTTTTTACTTTTTATTCACTTTCAATTTTTCTTGCATTTCGTATACAATTTTCAATATTTTTTGTATTCTTTATTCAAATTTCAATATATAATATTGAATTGAATATTTATAAAAAAATTGAATAAAAATTTAAAAAGTATTGAAAATTGAATAAAAAATAAAAAAAATATTGATAACTGAATAAAAATACAAAAATATTGAAAATTGAATTGAATATTGATAAAAAATTGAAAATAGAATAAAAGATACAAAAAAATATTAAAAATTTAATTAAAAAAAATTTGAATATTTTTTGTATTTTTTATTCAATTTTCAATATTTTTTCTTACTTTTTATTCAATTTTCAATATTTTTTATATTTTTTATTCAATTTTCAATATTTTTGTATTCTTTATTCAATTTTCAATATTTTTTCTCAATATTTTTTTACTTTTTATTCACTTTCAATTTTTCTTGCATTTCGTATACAATTTTCAATATTTTTTGTATTCTTTATTCAAATTTCAATATATAATATTGAATTAAATATTTATAAAAAAATTGAATAAAAATTTAAAAAGTATTGAAAATTGAATAAAAAATAAAAAAAATATTGATAACTGAATAAAAATACAAAAATATTGGAAATTGAATTCAATATTAATAAAAAATTGAAAATAGAATAAAAGATACAAAAAATATTAAAAATATTGAATTAAAAACAATTTGAATATTTTTTGTATTTTTTATTCAATTTTCAATATTTTTTCATTTTTTTCTTAAATTTTATCAATACTTATTTCAATTTTCAATATTTTTTCTTACTTTTTATTCAATTTTCAATATATTTTCTCAATATTTTTTTACTTTTTAATTTTTATACACTTTCAATTTTTCTTGCATTTCGTATACAATTTTCAATATTTTTTGTATTCTTTATTCAAATTTCGATACCTATATAATATTGAATTAAATATTTACAAAAAAATTGAATAAAAATTGAAAAAGTATTGAAAATTGAATAAAAAATAAAAAAAAATATTGGAAACTGAATAAAAATACAAAAATATTGAAAATTGAATTCAATATTGATAAAAAATTGAAAATAGAATAAATGATACAAAAAATATTTAAAATATTTAATTAAAAACAATTTGAATACTTTTTGTATTTTCTATTCAATTTTTAATATTTTTTCATTTTTTTCAAATTTTATCAACACTTATTTCAATTTTCAATATTTTTTCTTACTTTTTATTCAATTTTCAATATTTTTTATTCAATTTTCAATATTTTTTCTTAATATTTTTTTACTTTTTATTCACTTCAGAATTTCTAATTAAAATCTTTTACAATTCAACTTTTATAAAACTTTAATTTGAAACTTTTTATAATTCAATTTATATTAATATTAGTAATATTAAACATTGTAAAATTTAGAAATAGTTGCTTATGAATAATATTGTAAAAAAACGGATTAATATTAATGCAAAATACGGTTTTTTTAAAATTTATTTTCTAAAAAAAGAAATATTATTTATTTTTATTTATTATTTAAAAATTATGTTTCATAAATTTCGTATTACTTTTGTTCTAGTTAGTTGAATTTTTTACAAATTCAAATTTGTTTTTTTATAATATTATTGTGAAAAAAATTTTTTAAATTAATTTATTTTTCACTATTTTATAGGAATGTGAAATTTTTTCTCTTTCAAATTTTCCCGACGAATTTAATTAATTAAAATATAAAAAATTATATTTTGTTTATAATTAAACAAAATATAATTTTAGTTTTTAACAATAAGTTAGAAATAGAAAGGATTTTAAATTTTAAAAAAATTTCCAAAATCCCGGTCAAGATAAAAATTCACTGTCATTTCCCAGTTTCCCGGTCCAGCGGCCACCCTGTTATTGGTTGCTTAGTTTTTATTGATTTACATATTTCTTTTTTAATTTTTAATTATTTATTACTTTTTTTACTCCAAAATATTTCTTTTTTAATTTCCAATCATTTGTTTTGCTTTTTTATTCTATTTACATTTATTTTTTAATTTCCAATTATTTATCCGTTTTTTAATTCCATTTCCAAAAAAAAAATTCGATTCTTTTTTCAGAATTCTGTTTAAAAATCTAATTCAAAAATATTTTTGAAATAAATAAATAAAATTATTTAACATTTAGAAGACAATATTAAATGTCGGACAAGAAAATAAAAGAAAAGAAAAAAATTACAATCCCAAGAAAAGAGAACAAAAAAAAATTTGCCATACGACTGCTGTAATAATTTGTCGGTAATTTTGTGCATTAAATTTTTGTTTCTTTTATTGTAGCGAAGGAGACGGTGGAAACGTGGTGGCTGGTACTAGAGGAATTGTTGAAGAGAAGCCATTCCATGCGGTTCCTGGTATAGGGCTTTCTACTCGAGTCAAAAGAGAACGGACAGATGAGTGACTGTCCATTTTTATGCAAAACGAGAAAAAAAAAGAGGAAGAGGAAAAAAAATTGGTTCTAACCGGAACAGAAGGGAAAAATGCATTCGCATAATAGTCCTAATGATAGATACGCTTGTTAGGCGCGCACCCCCCGAAGGGATCTACAGACATGAAAATCACTTTTGCGCCCCACACCACCGACTCCAGTGTTCAAAAAAAAAAAAAAAAGAAAAAAACGAATCTCCGTAACGCCCGCTCTCACTCTTTCAAACTCCCATCCCCCCGAAAAAAAGAAGAAAGAAAGGGAGAAAGAAGAATTTTCAATTATCAAGTGAGTCACGGCAAAAAAAATCGGAGCCATACCAGATAATACTTATTAATACTATTATTAAAGAAAAGAAAAAAAAACTACATAATATTATTAATTAATTACTAGTCTAAGAAAAAAAAAATAAAGCGATGTTATACGTCTTATGAGCGAGTTAACGAAAAAAAAAGAAAACCAAGAAGACTATAGATACGCGTTTTATGGCAGTGAAATTTTTTAAAAAAACAAAGTCATTTTTATGTGATAGATGCATTGTCTACGTGAACAAACAAAACAAAAAAAATTGAACGTCCCCAAAAGAAAAATTTCAGGAAAGATTTTTTTTTCTCTCCTCCTTTAGAGACGTTCAATTTTTTTCTGAAAACTCTATTCATAGCGATGCTCCCAAAAAAAAGAAAAAACATTGCGAACTATTAGGATGAAATCGTGGAATATCTGTCACGCTTCCACCGTACACCGCAGATAGTTCTGCATTTGCACGTGATAGTCTGATTTCCATAATATTGTATATATAATATAAAAAAAGTAAACAAAGACAAAGTAATAAAATTAAAAAAAAGGACGAAACCGAAGTGAAAAACGTTGAGAATATATAAATAAATATATATATATATATGAAAAAAATAAATATATATATGAACGGAGAACGGTAGAATCTAAATAAAAAAAAAAACATGCTCCGAACTAAATATTTTCTTTTTGTTTTTTCATCGATGTTCACAATCTCCATTCGTCAAATCGACGCGCGTATGCAGGTCATCGTTAGTCCACTTTCTGACAATGCGATTGTACACCGATGTTTTGTAATATATAGAGAGAAAGAGAGAGAACGAGAGAGAATGCAGTGAGAAATGGTGCAACGTGGAACGTAAATCGTTCGACCGAATTATTCCGATGACAAAAAAAAAAGAAGGACTTTCTTGAATTTTTTTTTATCCAATTTTGGAAAATTCAAAACTCGCGTTTCCTTCTTTTTTTTATTCAATTTTGCGCTCGAGAAATTTTGCCTTTACAGGAAATTTTTTTTCAATAATTCAATAATTCTAAATTTTACATTTAATTACAATATTATAATTTTTTTTTATTTCGAAAATATTTTTTTGTTTACGAAAAGTAATTAGGTTCAAGTCCTTTCATAGATTCATATATTTTATTAAATTAATCATTAATTTCATATTATTTCAAAAAATTTATAATAATTAAAATCATGAAAATAAATGATTTATTATTTTCAATAATATTTTCAATAATAATTTTTATTTTTTGTTTCAATTTTTTATTTTAATTTCTATTTTACCTAAAAAATTTTATATTTTATTTTAATTTTAATCTAACTAACTGAATTAAAATTTTTTTTTTTTACTCAAGAATTTTATTTTTTTATTTTAACTTTCATTTCACTAAAGAATTTTAATTTTTATCTTTTACTTTTAAATTTAATTCTCGCATTTTGCTGAAGAATTTTAATTTTTTCATTTAATTCTCATTTTACTGAAGAATTTTTGATTTTTTCATTTAATTCTCTTTTTTATTTTTACTATTTTATTTTTTATTTACAATTTTTATTCTTATTTTACTAAAGAATTTTTATTTTCATTTAAACAATTTTCATTCAACCCTGAAAAATTTATTGAAATTTTGTGCTTTTTAGTGCAAGTGTGCCAAAATAAATTTCGAAAAACAATTCCCAATTTTCAAACTCTTCGTTATTTGTTTCGACTGTAAACTTTAATTTTGCCAACAAAAAACATTTTGTTTATCAATCAACATTTTTAAATAAAAAATTAATGTAAATTTTAGTTTCAAACCGCGAAATGTAAAATTAGAGTCCATTATTTTTGCCAACGAAAAAAAATGTCTTATTAATTTTGTATTTTAGTTTTTATTAAATAATTATTAACTATATTTTAATAATATTATTAAATAATGAAAAGTATAAAATAATCTGATTGAATAATGAAAATTATTAAATAATATTATTAAATAATGAAAAATAGAATTAGAATTAAAAACTAAAAAATTAAATTAAAAAAGTAAATTCATTTTTAAATGTTACAAAAAAAATTTGTATTTACTAAAATTGTAAAATTTCAAAACTTAAAATTATTCTATCAAACATACAACGAAAAATTTACAAATATTCGTAAAAAATAGAAGCAAACTTAAGTTTTAGAAATAAAAACAAAAAATTTTAATCTAAATTGCTGTTCAGTTTTTTTTTGCAATATTTTGCAAAAAAAACTGAACAGCAATTTTAATTTCTTCATTTATTAAGAATAATCATTTTTAATAAAAAAAAAACGGAGAAATAAGAAATAAAACTTGAAAAAATTGAATAAAAAAAAGGAACCTCGCCGCAAAAAAAATTATCAAAACAAAGAAAGTCTTTCGAAATTCGGAAAAATTCGGTGTCTTTGAGTGGTACACAAAACATTCCTGATTAAATATTCGGTTAACCACTGAAGTCTTAAGCTTTATCTTTAAGTCACGTTTTTTACTTACGCGAAACTCCGTATTTTACAAAAAAAAAATAATAAATAAATAATATAATAATAATAATAACAATGAACGCTGTAATTTGAAAGGTGTAATCTCAATAAACAGGAGCCAAATTAATGATGAAAAAAAATTGTCCCTCGAGATGATCGTTTAAAAACATCTCAAGCGACAATTTTTTAGCGAAAAAAAAAGTGAATTATTTTCTTTCTCGCTCCCAAATCGATGTGCGTTCGGATAAATATGAATATGTTTTTAAAGTTAAGACGGTATTTAATGCAAATTCCATCCGAAGTAGACGCTATTGCTAGAGAAAAAAAAAAATAAATTTTAAATATCGCGATGATAGTTTACGAATATGTTAGTCTGTTTCGAAGAGAGAAGAGAAAAAATAATTTTTTAATGTTCGTGACATTATTTTCTTTGTCACACGCTCTTTTTATTATCCTTCTTCTTCTTCTTCTTGTTCTTTTGTTTTGATAATTGAAAAAATGATTAAATGATTTAAAAATTGATTAAAAGAAAAAATGATGGAAAAAATTCTTTAAAAGCAATATACTTTAAAAACAATTTTTTCTGATCCAGAATTCCACCCATTTTACACGCTGGTAAACGTTTCAGTTTTGAACATTCGAATATTCTTCATCCCGTGAATTAAAAAAGTAAAATAAAAAAAACAGAAGAAATTAAAAATAAAAACTGTCAGTGTCCATTTTCAATGTACCAAGAAACGCAGGCGTGATTTTTTCTTTTTATTTTCATTAGGGAAAAAAAAATGTCTACCAGTTAATAAGGACTTTGTAAAGTGAAATTAATAGCGTCATTTGGATCATTTTTTCAAAGCAAGAAAAGCGAATTCCAAATCTACTTTTTTTCGAATTCTTGCGAAAATTTCTAATTTTTCTAAATATGAATTTATTTAAATTTAGTAAAAAATAAGAAACGGAAAATTTTGTTCTTTACGATTATTATTTCTGCGAATTCCAATCGTAACTTGGAAAATTGTAAAAAAAACTCAATAATTTCTTTTTTGTAAAAGAATTTTAAAAAAAATATTTAAAAAATATTTAAAGGCAAAATATTTTTGTTGGAAGAAATTATTTTTCGAAAAATAATCATTTTCGTTGATAGAAATAATTATTTTTAACGGAAAAATATTTTCGTTCACAAAAATTATTTCTGAAAGGAAAAATACTTTTGTTGCAATGTTTTTTTTGTGTTAATAAATTTCTCTTTTTAATTTGTATTTTATTTGCGAAATTTTATCTCAAATTACTTATTAAAATATTTTCGTTCGCGAATTTCTTTTTTCGAAAAATGATTCAAGTGACAAAAATGAAAAGTTGCGCCTAATTTGAATGAAAATCTGTGTGCTGCAGGTGAAAAATCCATTGCCTAAACAGCAATTCGCCTAACTAATTTGTAATTTGCTACTTGATAAATTTTATATCGCAATCATTTTTTAATTAATCAAATCAAAGTCATCATTATTATAAATAAAAAAATATGAGTAAAATAAATAATCAAGGAAAACAAAATGTGAGGGGAAAAAATGCGCGCTCGCCCTGAATGCTTCGTCAAGGATCATTTTTGCACATCCCATTTTCCAAATTCTCAACTAATTTCCTTCGAGACTTCGAATAAATTTAATTCAAAAAAATAATTCAAAAAAGAAAAAAATGAATTTTAAAAAATGTAAATAAAAAAATGAATTCAAAAAAGAAAGAAAATGAATAAGAAAAAAATGATTCGTTTAAATATGAAAAAAATGAATAATTCAAAAAAGAAAAAAAATGATTTGTTCAAAAAAGAAAAAAATAATTTGTTCAAAACAGAAAAAAATAAATCGTTCAAAAATGAAAAAACTGAAATGTTCAAAATAGAAATAAACTGAATTATTAAAAAAAAAGTAATTCAAGAAATTGATAATAATTTAATTCAAGAAAATAATCTCGAGGGAAATGGTGGAAAATTTGGTCAAAAACATACATTGTGTGCCTCGTGCAAATCACACAAAAAAGAAAAATAAAACAAAAAAAGTCTTCGTTGCCCGGAAGACAATTTTAATATTTTAAAAAATAAGTAACATATTGTGTGACTAAAGACCTGCTTTACAATGTGTCTTGTGCTTCCTAATGGACAATTTTATACAATTTTTTATGCCAGTTGCCGCGGAGTATAATCTATAAGGTCATAATGCATTTTCTCTAATTCAACATAAAATCGAAAGTTGATCAATGAAATTAATTCGTTTCCATCTCAATGAAATGGATCCGTTTTCTTCTTCTTCGACAAAATTTCATCTTCAAAGCAATCGTTTCGTTTCACTAAAAAAAAATTGTTAATTGAATTATTTTAGTAATAATATAAAATTTATCAAAATTTTCACGTTACAACTGATTTAATTTAATTAAATATTAAATTTTACAACCAAAAATTAAATTAAAAATTAAAATTAATTAAACAACCGTTTACAACCAAAAAAAATTAATTTTAATTATTTATTTTGAAAATAATTGAAAAAAATTAATGTAATTAATTTTAATTAATGTAATTAATTAATTAAGTAAAATAAATTTAATTCAATAGTTATTAGAAATAAATAAATTAAAACAAATCCAGTTCATTGAAAAGAAAACAAATTAAATTCCCCGTCAAATTAAAATGAATATTTCCGTTTCAATGAAAACGAATTTCTTTCATTTCAAAAATGAAAAAAAAAGTAAAAAAAA